GTGGACTTTCTGTTCTTTGGAAGAAATTGAAACAGCTTCCTCTGCTGCCTCGTGAATTCTAGTTGCGCCTGCTTTGTACATTGTTTTCTGACCGACCAAAGTGTCCACGCAAGGGACGCTTGTAAGCCAAAGGGAGTGGGGGGCTCCTGGTTCCTTCTGTGCACTAGACGCTTTTCCCTTGCCATTTGCCACCGGTTTTAGTAGCCGTGGTTGAAAAGCCATCGGTTGCCAGCACCAAGTTCCTTGAGGCAGCTCCCTAAGTCGTCATCTTTCTGCTTCCCCAAACTAGGACTTTCTGCCGCTTGTTTTCCAGTCAGGACAGACACCAGGCCTAGAATGCCAGGGTCCAAAAGCTTTGTGTGGGCCGGGGGCGGGGGTTCTAGCAAACTGCTGTTGCACATCCAATGGACTCCCACATGTCCTACATCCCTACAAGAATAACTCCGGGTTGGGAACCATAGCTGTGTCTGGGCAGGACTTTGATAAGAGCCTGTGAGAGCGATGAATGAATAATTTGTACTGAACAATTTATTCATGTGGCTTTGCCTTTCATTTCTTTGTGGTTTGTCCACAAACTGACAGTGTTTCTCTGTAGGAATAGCTGGCAGATTTTGTGTCCTCCGTGGCTTGTTGTTGAAGCACGTGGTCTTGTTTCCCTTCCCTCCAGGGATGAATGTAACTCTTATAATCAGATAAACGCTCACGGGCAGTAAACCGTAAATGTACTTCCTGCAGATGCCCATCGGTGTGGGTAAAAATGCACCTGACCAAGATGACAGGAGGTGGTGAAGGAGCAAAGTTCTTCAGATTTCAAATGAATATTTATACAGGTCTAGGATTTACTGCAGGAAACCACGTGTAAGAAAGTAGGAGCTGCCAGTCTGGGTCACACCAGGGGTCCTGCCTCCGACAGTGGCCAATATCAGCTTCTCCCTGGCAATGACAGAGTCCCCAACGATATTCGTTGTGCCGCTCGCTCTCCGTGGCGAGCTCTGCTCGGGTTGAGAACTGGCCTGTCTCTGAATGCGGGACGTGCTGGAAGGGAGTTAGCTCTGGCTTTGGGGGCAGGTGGCTTTCAGAGTAGTCGACTGGCCGCTAAGCAAGTGCTAGTCGACTAGTTGCTCCCCCCCTTGCTGCCTCTATCAGAAAGAGGCAGCAGGGGGGG